CTAAGACAGCATCAAAGACGAAACTATAGTTTCATTTTATACCTCCAATTTACGTCCCACAAGTTCCAAAAAGCACAAATTCTCCCATTTGATAAATTTGAAATGCTATCGAGCATGTCAATATCATTGGAAAGAGATAAAATCTGCAAGCTAGGAGCTTGGGGCACGTAAACGATGACTTCAATTCTTCAGCCAAAGTTGCCCCTTAGTTTGTCAAGGGTATAAAGGTAAGTTGTAAGCAATGTGAGAAATTGAGTTTTATCTTTTTAATAAAATCTGAAACATTCAACGATTGTGCTATATATACATCACCACTAAGAGCATCTTCAATGAACTACTCCCAAAAAATATTTATTATTTATCTTTATCTTTTATTTTAACTAGCTTTTCTTTAAATTATTTTATTATTTTCCTACATTGAAAATTGAAACACTTTGAATGCATTTAATTATAGAGAGTGAGTTTGACTCTTCAAATTTAGAGAGTCAAACTCACTCTCTAAATTAAAATGTTAATTTAAAGAGTCTTTTGGAGTGTGATTTTAAATGTTGACTCTTTAAAATAGAGAGTATCTCATGTTTAAAGAGTCTCTTGAAGAAGCTCTAACATACTAGTGTTAGATATGATGTGATAAAATATGATTGAGTCAGACTCTAAAAAAAAAAACTTATCACTCTCTTCTAACACCTGATCTATCTGTAAAACTTTTTATAACTCATGTATAAATAGCATTAGCTTTCAACTCGTCTCAAATCAAATGTAACTAAGCAGTACCCTTTGAAGAAAAGAAAAAGAAGTTGCTTCTTATTCACACAGTGCTTCAAATTATAACTCCAAAACTACAGGAAAGTGAAAATAATAAGCCTCTATAAAAATAATCGTCCAAGTCTTCTACCTTCTATTGAAACTTAAAACTTTTTATACTTGCAACAATGAAAGATACATTATTTTCACTTGCAGTCTCTTATCAAGGATTTTTACAATCAATTTAAATGTTCCCGGTAGCACATCATCGAAGTTTGGTTTGTTCAGAAATTTGGCCTCCAGCGTATAAAAAGCCTGATAAAATAACCTTAGGTGATCGCTTAACAGGAAAACAACCAAGTTCTACAATAATAATTACATGGGCAATCAAAGCCAGCTTCAAAATGTTTTTGACCATTTAAAACAAGCTAACAATACTATTAACAAATAGAAGAATACTGTGATATCATTACATAAAACAGTTCACATTGCATACAACACAACTAGCACGAGTACTGGAAGGATCAGTTGCTATAATTTAACATCAACACTAGAATCCCACTCATCACTCCAACAGCTCTGCAAGGCCCACATCATCTTCCATTTCATCATCTCTCTCACTTTCTGCTCCAAGAAGCCACTGTTCAAAAAAATCAACTTCCTCGTCTTGCATGTAAATATCATCCAAATCATCCCATTGGTCTGTACCAAGCTCCTCACCACGGCAAGCAACGTGCAAGAATGGTCTACTTCTTGCTAAAGCATCAACCAAGTCTCTATTCACAGATCCAGTTACTCCCAACCATCTCAATCTTGGGAAATAAGGCTTCTTGAACCACCGAAATGCAAGCTGAGTGATACCCCCACAGTTATAAAGATCCAACAATCTCAAGCGATTGCCGTGCCACACAGTCTCGTCAATCTGCATAGAGGCTAATGCCATGACAGAAGTATCACCTATGAGAGGACATCGTCTCATTCGGAGCTCAAATATTGGAATACGAGTTTTTGCAAGCAGAAGCACAGCAGCATCAGAGATGTTAGGAAGATTTGACAGGTCCAATTCTCTAATTTCCTTATTAGAAGAGCCATTAAACAGGGAACAAATGCATCTGTCAGTAAGTCGTTTACACCCTCTCACAGACAAGGAAACAAGAGAATTCGTTGAACCCCTGCCTAAGTAGGACAATCCTATATCACTTATATCACAACCATCTATAAGTAATGTCTTCAACTTGGGAAGAGTACCGATTGCTCTTAGAGCTTCATCACCAAGGTTTCTGCAATCCCTCAAGTCAAGAAAGCTAAGATCTCCATTGGTAGCCAAGCGCGCAACAGCCAAATTTGTTAAAAGATTACACCATCTTAGGCTAACATGAGTAAGTGAAAGGGATGTCGCAGAAATGTCATGAAAAACTAGGTCGGTCAGATGAGTCCCATGAAACACCCTGAGCTTACACAACTTGGAGCAAGAATGTAAAATTGTTTTATAACCTGTATCTGTCACCTGGCAAAAGCCACCAAGACAAATACTTTCCATGGCCGAGCATTTGTCAGCCATGAGGAGTATACCAAGATCATTAACACGCTTGAAGTAAGTAGGGGCAATCTCCTGACTTCGTACCAAAGAAAGGTGTTTCAGTTTCCCATGTATATTAATTTGCTGAAGGCCAGAGTTGGTGAGATCGAATGCCATTCTTGGTTCGATTATAGGCGAGTCACGAAGATCCAGATGGGTCAAGCATACAAGGCATTTAGATATCGTACTGACCATGGTGTCAGTAATATAGTCCACTGAAAGGCATAATTTTTGTAGATTTGGTAATATGGATGGCTGAACATGATAAGATGATTGATGCAGTCCCAGAGAAGGGCTAAGCAATTCAGTCACCATTACTGAAGAAATATACCCTATTTCAAGCGAAATAAGTCTCCCGGTGGCCAGAGCCCAAACACGAGCAAAATTATGACGCAGAAATATTGACACGTCAAACATCAGGATCAGTGTCTATAAGACAAAAAATCAGGGTTAGCAAGAATAAATGAAATTCCATATATAAACAAAAGGTAATACGCAACCAATTCATTTAGACTAATGAAAAAACCTTATATGAAGGATATCACAGAAAGACGTGTTTCTTTGCTTAACATAATAGAGTGCATGCATGAACTTAATCCCTTTTGACGTCAAAAGGATTATTAACAATAAGATATTAAGATCTATACATGTTACCATATCAAGGATAAATTCAAGCCTAAAATACATGTAAACTGTGAATAGTTCAATCAGAATCTTTTAGACTGCAATGTCATGATTTATATTGATTCTTGCATGTAAGAAATGGTAGGGCTATCGAACATGAAGATTTCCATTGCCTAAGGATATCGAACGTGAATATTTCTGTTGCCAACGGATATGAACATGAATATTTCTGATACTGTAGACCTAAAAGAATGGACATATATCTAGTGAGCCACGCTGAGTGATTTAAAATCTACAAGCATACCTAAACAATAGTGAACTCCAAATTACTCTACCTTCAGAACAATATAAAAGCCTCGTGAAAAATGTGATTTCAAATATATTTCCAAATTCTTACATCCGAGTCAAGGATTTGCCATATTAGTTAGTAATAATTATCCTAGTCACTCATGCAGTGAATCCTTACTTCCAAATGAGTGCAACCACTGAGCATTTCCTCTAGATCCAGTACATCAATGGATCTCCCCCTTTTCTCCGCCACTGAACTTAAGTACAGAAACCTGAAACACACAAAAAATCAAAACAAAAAAGGAAGTAACACATTTTCCACTTCGCATCCTATAAAACACCCAAGTTAAGAATGTTCATACGCAAAGATGAAAACATTAAGAAATATTATAACAAACAGCAATGGCACCAAGTAAATAGTTTTGACCTTAAAAAAAAAATTATGAATCGCTACAAAATACAGATCAACACATAAGTATCTACGAGACAAAATTTCAACCGGAAAATAAAGAATAAGAAACGAACCGAAGGTTTTTGCACTGGCGACCAAGCAGAGAGAGAAGCTTGCCGCTGCAGTCGGCGCAATTATAGAGGCAAAGCTCTTGCAAAGAGGGACGAATCAGGAAATCGAGGGAGGAATCATCAAGGCGTGTGCAATCCACCTTTAGGCTCCTCAAGTATGGGTTTGAAGGTAACAAAGGTCTCAACAAATCCATGGACGGCGCTATATCCTGAAAATAAAATCAGAATTGAAACATATAAACCGCAAGCTAGGGTAAAAGAAAAAAAACTCATACCAAGTATATGATTATATCTTACAAAAAGGTGGAAGGTGGGGACGAAAGACAGGATGTGGGCGGCGCAGGAGCGGAAGGTCTTACACGTGGATGCGAGTGACTGGATGGAGCGGATGTCGAGCTTGGTCATGATGGTGGCTATGAGAGCGGAGGGGAGGTGCTCCATAGCCGGTAAGAATGGATTTTGGTCTGACGAAGACGCCATTTTCGTAGGAATGTATATAACGGTGTCCATAACTTCTCATTTTTGGCTCAATTTCGAATTTAGGGGAAATTTTCATAAACCCTAAAATCTAATACCACTCTTAAGTATGTAAAATTTATGCTTACCTTTAACAATTGACAAAGGAATTGAAAATTGTAGCCTAATTTCCTCCCATTTCCTTTCTTTCCTTCTTTTTTTTCCCTTTTCTTTCCCTTTCTTTCTCTCTTTTTCCCTTCTATATTCTATAGCATATTCCTTGATTTTCTTTTGAGTATATGATGTTAAATACTTAAATTAGGGATTTGAGGTTGGAATTTTCCATTTTTTGGCAATTTTCGGACTAAGTCATGAGCAAAGGCTATTTTTGAAATTAGTTTCAAAAAGTGCTATTTTTGTCAATGGTTTGCAGTAATTTTCAGCATATTAAAACAGGTGACAGATTTCTAAATTTTGGAATTTTAGTGCTGTTTTTGTCAAACTTGGGGTTTCTCACATTTTACAAGTTTAGTGAAGTTACATGATAAAATGGAAGTTTAGGTATTGAATTAAAGTATATATGGGGGTTGTATATGTGTATAAGGTGAGTAAGTAATAAATATGACATATTTGGTAATTGGTGGGTAAATTGGCAAAGAGAAGTGCAATTGTTATCCTATTGTTATTGTTAAGGCTGTGAATTGAGTTTTGATCCGAATAAATTTATCGTTATAGCAGGAGGTAGCGCAGAGATCGAGACAGCATACCAACCAACCCCATCGTTCCGTAAATAGTCTGTGAGTGGAAACAAAACTTAAATATCTTTCAAGTATTAATAAGTAATTATATTATTATACATTTTATGCTATTCTGCGGATTATTGTTTCAATTACATTATTAGTATGAAAAATTTATGCTTACCTTTAACAATTGACAAAGGAATTGAAAATTGTAGCCTAATTTCCTCCCATTTCCTTTCTTTCCTTCTTTTTTTTTTCCCTTTTCTTTCCCTTTCTTTCTCTCTTTTTCCCTTCTTTGGCCCGTCTCTGTTTCTTCTCCCAAGTAATTACAAGAATTTTGGGTTGAAAAGTCAAAGATAAGGGATAACTATGGCCCAATTGCAAAGGTAAATCCTCAAGTTCCTATTTATGCTTACCTTTAACAATTGACAAAGGAATTGAAAATTGTAGCCTAATTTCCTCCCATTTCCTTTCTTTCCTTCTTTTTTTTTCCCCTTTTCTTTCCCTTTCTTTCTCTCTTTTTCCCTTCTTTGGCCCGTCTCTGTTTCTTCTCCCAAGTAATTACAAGAATTTTGGGTTGAAAAGTCAAAGATAAGGGATAA